GAGCTGGTGGAGTGCTTTGTGGCATGGTGTGGAAACAATCATCTGACCTTGAATGTGAACAAAACAAAGATGATTTTAGACTTCAGAAGAAACAGGGTGAAGTGAAACATTGTTTCCATCGTGGGAGAAGAAGTGGAGGTGGTTGAGGAATACAAATACCTTGGAATTCACCTGGACAACAGACTGGACTGGAGAAAGAACAGCCAAGCTGTTTACAAGAAGGGACACAGCAGACTGAACTTCTTGAGGACGATTAGGTCTTTCAATGTCTGTAGCAAGATGCCGCAGATCTTCTACAAGTCTGTTGTTGAGAGTGTAATCTCTTCAGCCATCGTCTGTTGGGGTAGCTGCATCAGAAGCAGGGACCTGAAAAGGCTCAACAGCCTAATAAAAAAGGCTGGTTCTGTTCTGGGGACGACTGTGGAACCACTGGAGGAGATAATGCAAAGAAGGATTCTCCAGAGAACCAAGAAAATTATGGACAACCCTGAGCATTCTCTTCACAAGACTGTCCGACAACGAAAGAGTGTCTTCAGTCAGAGGCTTCTTCAGTTTCGCAGCAACACTGACTGCTACTGGAGATCCTTCCTGCCAGCAGCCATTTGTAATATACAACAACTCTTTGACGACTTGATTATTATTATTATTCTGAGCTACTACAGCAATCAATTTCCCTCTGGGATTAATACAGTATTTTTGAATTGAATTGAATTGAATTGAATCGAATAGCAACCCATCAAAGAAGGAGAGAAAGAAACACAATTGGTCTGGTGACCCATAGGCCTGAAAATATCTGATAGGTATTTTCTGTATTTAATGTGCCTTTTTGAGGCCTAAAGAACGTTGCAGGACATGATAAGTATTTGTTTAAACGAAAGGTCATTGTTCTTCTTTGATCACATTTTAGAGTGGTGAAGAATGGCCTCTGTGATCACCCAACTTCCTGAGACAAGATGAAGGTCCAACAATATGTGTTGATTAAGTCACCCCGGTCAGCTGATTCTGAAGAATGTTGATTAAGTTACCGGTCAGCTGAAGAAATTGTGTAAACTTCTGGGTGTGTCTTCCTAAATAAAAGGAGCTCTAAGGCTTTGCCTGGTGTGTGAGCAAACTGCCTTTGTGTCTGGTGTGTTTGATTCTCTCACCCTCTGCAAAGTATTTTCCCTTTGCAGAGTGTTTTGATGTTGTATGTTTAAGGGTTGTTTACAATTTACCAAATTATGAATCTTATCCCTCTGTGTTTGCTCTGACTTTCTTTGAGGTAATATAGGAGCAATATTAGAAATTACCCAACAATATCCATTCAGATTTACCAAGAATTCCTCCTTCACACTCACACACTATCCCACATCTTCAGATCATGCTGCATTCAAAGCACCTGAGGTGAAAAGCCTTATTTATTTAGTTTGTTATGCACTTTAGTGAACTTGTGACAAAAAAGAGCAAACAGATTCCAGCCCTTTCAGCCTGATTCAGAGCAGGTGCGTTGCAAGCTTTTCAAAAGTGTGGGGGATGTTTTCTTTGCCTAAAATAATTTCATGTTATTCATCTTGTTAGTTTAATTTCCATAATAGCTGAGCAGGTGCGAATTTTAGACGCGTCACGCATTTTAAACATTTTTAAACTGTTCAGAATACAAATCCAGGCTCTGTCTCATTAGATTGGTGTAACTAAAGTTTGTACTGAATGACACTTTACATTAAACCATGTTGAAAAGGTAAGAAAAGGATCCGATTAAATCATTTTCCCCCTCATTTGCTGTCACGGAGTACAGCGCAGTGCGCATGGCTCTGGGGTTAATCAAGTTTAATTGTTTCTCTTTGCAACAATCTTCACAAGAAGGCAAAACAGTTGATGGCAGCTTACAGATATTTCCATTTGATGTTTAAACTCAAGGATGTTGGTTGTTTTGAAAGAATTACCCTGACGCACACTGATGCGCACACAGATGAGCTGACATTTTAATCGTTATGCACATCGCAGAGGTAACTAAATCAATCAAGAAATGATTCCCATCAGAACATCAGAGCTTTATACTGGACACTGTGCCCAGCGTGGCTCGGAGCGCACACGGTGAACAGTGAGCTGAAGATCTGTAGAGGGGTTCGGAGCGCAGCGCAGAACCACAGCGATGCGGTAAGATTTCCTCCCACTGAAGCGGTCTGGAAAGCCGGTCTCTCTGAGGGATGTGTCACTTGGAAAAACGTTCTCTGATTATGAAACTTTGGCTGAATAACGCTTGTTCCCGTCTCTAATATGGAGACGCATGACGCATCCAGTCTGAGGCAGAATAGCCTCTTCAGCTCAGAAAGCAGAGCCATGTCCAGGACTTTAAAAATGGGTTTTCCCATGTGGGGCACTTGTTTATGCATAGGTGGCACAAATGGTTATGCTTAGGAATGAGCCGGGTACTCGTTTCCTACGAGTATCCGGTACGGATAAAGCATTTTTGATGAATACGAGCATGAAACGAGTAAAACTCGTAAATATCTGTAATCGTGCTGAAGGAAAATCCTCATTGGGTTACTGACTGTCTTCATGCTCTGTGACTGGCCAGTCACATAGAGCGCCCGCCCCTCCCTACACACAAAACTCTGCAGCCGGCCGAGAGCGTGGTCCGTCCGGCTCATCCACGCACACACACAGACAGTAACGGATCTCGCTGTGATTGCTTCACTGTTGCCCACATTTATTCAGTTTTCCCTAGGTTTTCTTCAGCTCACCTCTTTTTTGGTTGAATATTTAAAGTAACTTTTTTCGTAACTCACATGGTGCATTTGACAAGACAGAGCTGATGTGCGCGTCAGTCACTCACTACTTCCGCTCCGGTCGGGTGTTTTCATTTTTTTATTCCCTTTCTCTCCCTCTCCATCTCTCACACACACACCTTAATCAACATTGTTTTGTTTAACTTTGTGTGGGAAAATGCCAAGAACGTTAAGAAAAAAATCTGTTTAATCAAATTAAAATAAAAAAAATATACATAAAGTTGTGTCTGGTTCTAGCATTTCATATGTCCTAGTTCCTTCTGCATGAGTTCAGATGTATTAATCCATGCACTTAAATATTAATGTTCTGATTTAATTGAAACACTTGTTCTGTAATAGTTTCTTTACTATTGTGATCAAAAATATTTAATCTCAATTCTGAGGCTGCTCTGTAAATAGTTTTCAAATAAACAATACACATATCAACTTTTGATCAATCCTTATCAATTTCAGACTTAAAATAATATATTGATGTAAACCGCACCCACTTCCGGTTAAACCACGCCCACTCCCGGGTAATGCCACGCCCATTCCGAGTACAGATACAGATAATTTAGTTGGTTGAACAGATACAGATACAGATAGTGGTGTACTCGCTCATCCCTACTTATGCTTATTTATGTATTTACACAGATTGTTTATGTATTTATTTTTTTACTTTCTTTTAAATTTTTGAGTTTCACATTGTGCAATCACCATTTTTTCTCTTCATCTTCTACTTTTGTGGTGGTTAGCGTCACTTCTTGTTGCATTACTGCCACCAACTGGAGTTGAGTGGAACTCTAAATACTATTTATGTGAATATGAAAAAAAAAATACTACAGAAATGTTCTGTAGGCCTGGGCTAGAAAACAATGTGAAAGGTGCATGCAGCCACACACCATTTTGGAGTTTACAACCCAAGCCTTTTGTCGATAATGTAAAGTCAATTTGAACTGGAACTTAGTGAGGTGGCACCTGGGGTGGCAAATCAGATTCTTAGGGTGGCATGTGCCACCCCAGGCCACTCCCTGGACACGCCCCTGGCACCTGTAGAGACATTTGATCACGCACAAAGTTTATGTGGAGCAGAAGCGGTCGGGCCACGGCAGGTGAAACGTTCCTAGCCTGTACATGAGTGAAATTGTTTACTTGTTACATTAATATGTTACTGGACATGCTGGTCTGGTTTGTTAGACCAGTGTTTGAAGTGGAAAACACACACACACACACACACACACACACACACACACACACACACACACACACACACACACACACACACACACACACACACACCCCAATTAAGACAATGCTGATAGCGTGGACTAGAAGACAGGTGATGGTTTACGTATTTAAAGAGCAAGTAACGTCTAAATTAACTTTTTTTTGCTGATGAACTGTATAAATGAGTGTCTAATAGTGTTTTAAATGTGTGCATTCTTTATTTTAGCATTTTGGTGCATTTTCTTTAAAAATTAAAAATTCTGTCTAAAAACCACAGTAATGCGCCACCTTCAGCTGAAAACATAGAATTTGAGTCATTTTGAATAAATTTTAGCCAATGGCTAAAGTGTAAAGTACTACGTAAACCAGTGGAGTACTACGTAGAAGCTCCGTGCCAAAGTTATAAAAGCAACGAGCGTCTCGGCCACGCCTTATGGCGAGTTAGGAGTTGGATTTGCAAGTGAGTGTAGGAGGTCAGCGGTAGTTCAGCATCAGCATATAGCATTAGCATATCCTAGTCTTAGCATATCTTTTAGTGTTATAAATACTTATTTAGTGTTAGATTTGGCTGTTGGATATTGTAGTTTAGTTAGTGTTTGGCTGTTAGTGTAATTGGGAAAGTATTTCGGGTTTAGTGCTCCATATCGTCTTAGTATTGGTGAGTAGGTGTAGTGTAGTATGCTTGCGGTGACTCTGTGGGCATTTTACCCGCGATTCTGCACGTCTCCGTTTGAAGAGGGAGGCTGCCCACCGTGGCTCTTCCGCGATTTAGATGCAGCCCACCGACTCTGCTCCCCCACCATGGCGGGCTCCAGTCTGAGGTGAGTAAGCTAAATAAACGTTTTAACATCTTCTAAAGACAATTCCCTACCTAAATGCAAAGTCTGAGAGACGTGGTTCACTTCCTTTAGCTAGTCAGTCGGCAATTCTGCAACAGTGGCTCTAACTGACGCAGCACTTGTTGACAGCATTACAGCGTGAAATCCAGCTTGTGACCCGGTTCTGTGAGGAATTCTGTTCAGGTCGCATTTCAGGCTCTCCACATCATATGTGACTGACTTTTACGTTATAATGATCACACACTAGGAATGTTATAAAGCGCCTATATAGGACAGTTTCTTTTGTATATTATCTGACTTTATAAACTCCCAACAACAATGTGCTTATATATTTTTTTCAGGCTAAATCTACCCAAGACACTGGCTGTCAGACTGATTTAGCTGCAAGAATGCACTTGTCCAGGCTGATGTGAAACCTTCCCTGTAGCAAAGGTGAATTATTTTTAATAATCTTCTATGTAAACATTTTATTATTACCTTCTAGTTTTAATTTATTTTACAGATTATTGTTACACGTGATTTTATGCTCTTTTAAACATTTATAAATGTGCTGCTTCTTTGTTTTTACATAGCCAGCCAGAATGGAGTTCACAGCCGCAGTGTGTCTGGTGACCCACGGGGACCATGATGAAAATTCATCTTCCAGAAGGTCCCAGAGCAGCGGCCACACCCCCTGAAAAGACCAAGGTGTGAGGTGTCTGCTGTTGATTCCAGCTTCCACCTCAGTGACAGTGCAAGCTCAGTGAACTGTTCAAGGTAAAAAAAAAAAAATTAAAACATTTCAGAATTTTTAAGATATTAACAATTAAATAAGTATGTGATTACATCATGACGGAGGCTACTGATTCTGCCCCCGTGACACTTGGTGGTGACGTGTGAGCTGATTCACCTGGAAAACAACTTTTACATTAAATATTTTGTTTTTGCTATCAAAAGTAAATTAACTAATAACCTGCATTATTGCAGGACACTCAGCAAAATATGGACTCTACACCATGAGGCAGGCACACGTTAATAACTCTATAAGAGCACATAAGGTGAGCAACACCACATATTGTGCACTGTCCTGAATTTGTTTTCTTTCTGCATCTCATTAGCCTGGCTGATCACCTGATAACTCCTGTCATCTGGTTATGACAGCATGAGGATGTCCTCACACCTGTAACCTATCAGCTCATCTGGCAGAATAGAGAGAGATGAGACAACACCACACCTCCTGTTCCTGGAAAGCCTTCAGCCATCCTTCGATGACTGAGAACCTCCATCAGCTCTGTCTCCTGTCTGCCTACAATTATTATAATAAATATTGTGTTTGACAAGTTTTTTTGTGCTGCCAAATATCTCATATAGATTCCAGTTTTGATATTTTAATGGATATTTATAAATTACATTAATTGAATTATCACAATGCATGTTTAACTTGCTCTATTGTGATGAATTAAACTAGCACCTCACTGTTAAAAGCTCGTTTTAATTTCAAGCATGTTTAAGTATTTATGGACATGAACAAAAACAGGAAATATATAAATTGAGATTTATTTAATTAATATAACAAATAAGGGGGAAAGAGTCATTGAAAGGCACATTCTTCTGGAAGCTCCTGATCCTGACGACACCAGCAGAGGAGACCACCTGCAGACACCAGAGACCAGCTGCAGACACCAGAGGACCTAGAACCAAGAGAGCAGCTGTTATCAGTAAATAAATAAACCAGGGCAGTTTTAGTGGGCTGAACACATTACAGAATAATTTCTCATGGGGCATTTTCATAACTTAATGCAGCAGACTGTAACTTGAGCCCAGAGCTACCGGAGAGCTGCTATCCAGCACGTTTCAGTGGATTTTCCTGCTTTAACAGGTTAGATTAGCTGTTAAGCAGCTCAGCTATTTGTTGCTGATTAAAACCAGGTGTGCTGAAGCAGATAAACCTCTAAAACATGCGGAATACTAGCTCTAGAGCCGTGGAGACAAACCCTGCAGCTAATCCAATGCTATGGCTAACAGCTACTTACGTTCAGAGGTGGTTCTGTTGGGTCGGTTCTTGGAGTTACAGGCAACTCACAAGCTCACAACAATAAGGCTCAGGTCCGCTTGTCTCCTCCAAATAGACTTGGTCCCTTTCTTCTCGAGTGTCTGGGTAAGGAGGGGGAGAAACGTCCTCCATTTCTAATAACTGCATAGAGTGAAGGGAGCTAGCATCGTCTAGTTAGCCGTCGTCTTCGTCACTGCCGCGGCTCCACCCTTTCGGTCCTCCAGGCAACGCCTACTAATGTTGCATTTTTTAAAATTGATACGTGGGTGGAGAAGGACTCCGAGGCTCAATTGACCCGCTCTTTAAATGATGATCAGGCTGCTGTAAAATGTAATCTCCATCCACATCCAGCCAGAATCATCCTCTATTCTGTCTCTATTTGCTCTGCTCTTGTCTGGGCTGATGTAGCTGACTGTGCGCACGGCGCGCCTAACTAGCGGCTCTGATGCACATTTTACACATTTGGAGAGGTGGGCTGGATGCTTTGCTTTCACTGGAAGATCGTCCAATAAACGCACGGGTGTCACGTTGCGGGTTAGGAGGAGGTTAAGACCCAAGATGCAGACAATACCAGATGACACGAGGCAGGAGCGGTTTTAAAAGTAAAATCCTTTTTATCAGGATGACAAACCAAAAATCCAAAAGGGCAGGAAGACACTCAGACAAGGCAGGGCTTATATACACTGGGTCATGATGGGAGGCAGATGGGCTGCAGCTGTGTGGAGAGAGAACCGGGTGAAGGCAATTAACTAATCAGGGAGGAAACTAAGATGACCTAAGAGTAAAGAGTAAAAAACCTAAAGACAAGATGAGCAGCAAAATAAACCAATATTCTAAGGGGAAGGGAAACTACAAAAACCTGTGGAAAAAGCATACTAAAGAGACTAATAAAATGAGAAGCTGAACCTATAAAAAACTACAGATGGGTGACTGGGGGAGTCAATTAACAAAATGGGAAGGGATGGAGCTTGACCAGATGGCCTCATAAATATTAACCTATAAACACAAAACTAAACCTAAAGACTGAGGGCCAAAAATAAACAACTAATAACTAGATGGATGAGGAGGACTAAATAAAGATTGATTAGGAATGAGGAATGATAGAAGGACACCTGAGGGAAGTCTACAGAGGGCTGGGGATAATAATGGGACACAGAACCTGGGAGGGAATATCTGGAGGGCTGAAGACCAGGGGACACATGAGGAACACAAAGAGACACATAAGGGGAATTCTTAGGGGGGAATGGAGCACACAAGGAGACACATGAGGGAGACGCAGACACAGATCATGACAACGGGTGTAGACTAAATATTAATGAAAAAATGAATGAAAATTAAATTGTGAGTTTTTACTTCATATTTTAGAAATAAAATGACAGGGGAAAAATTTATGATGTCTTTTTAAACAAAATCTTCTAGCGCGACCTGCCTGCTTCACTTAAGTCACTGCTTATTAAGGTCCATCAAGAATTACCATGGCCCACCCAAAAAATGAAAACCTGGCGCCGCACCTGTTATAAACCTCTGCAAATTATTGTGCTTCACATTATCAAACTCAGACTTTGTACAGCTAATAACAACATGTAAAATTATGAATTCAGTCGAGCTCTTCCGTCCCTCCCTCTCCTGTTTCTCCTTGAAACCCGACATCGGCTGTCAGAAGAGGGAGGGGAAGAAGGAGATGAGGCAAACAGAGTGAGTGCGACGTAGAGAAACCAGACTAGTGTGGAGGTGAGACCAGGTATCATCACTTTATTAAAGAGCCACGTTTGTTTGTTTTGTTCTAAGCAAATAAAGCATTAAGTTCCTTAGCCACCATATGAAAACATCAGCCCCCTGTGGGTCTTGTTGTAGCGAATATGAAAGGAAGACTCAGACCTGCAGAACATGTTGGTGGTTTCCATGACGGCTTGTTTCAAACATGTGACTCCTTCCCAGCAGACATTCTTATCTAAATGTACAGAGGCAGCAGAGAGACTCCATCATGGCCGTAAATGTAAAACGAGACAAATAGCTGGTTTCTGCGGCCCCTCTGTTGGCAGAGAAGTGATGAGAGTGAAATTAGGAGCGTATGAGTTGATGTTGTTGTGGTCCAGCAGCAGCCCAGCTCAGATTATGCAAATGTGTTTAATGCTTTATCCTGAACATAAATTGTTGCTGCTAGTATTTCTGCCAACTTGTGCCAAGATGTGCTCAGAGCCGCAGTTCCACTTTATTATTTTACACATTCTGTCGGACTGCAGTAAAGAGGATTGTCCACGTGGCGTGTTGAAAAATGAGAGACATTGTCTGGAAAATCATAATGGCCATAAACACGGGCCAAGAAGCAGACTTGTGTTGGAAACAGTAGCAGCTTTATAAATGAGCTGACTTTATTTAGACTCTATTAGGTGCATCAGCAGCATGATTTAGACGGAGACAAACCCTCGGCAGCGTAATAAGATGTCCACACAATGGCCTGCTTTACATCCCCACTGTCCCCCACTCAGGGACGAACGTGCAGGCCTTTATCTCAGAATGAGCACTAATTACTGCATATTTATAGTTAATATTTGAAGCTTGCCTGGGACACATAAATGTGCAAAAGTGTGAAAATATAACAAAAATGGGAGAGAATTTAAACATTTGATGATCTTTTAAAGCTGAAGGGCAGGGAGATGTTTGCTGCCGGGGTAACACGTAAAGTCAGCTTCTGCCACTGGAGCATTTTGTCAGGAAGGCTCACAAAAATAGTCACCCTCTCAGATAAAATATGAACCGGCTGAAAGCAGTGTCTGTCACTGAGCAAGGCATTCTGTGTTGCTCGCTTGGTGAGGAATTTGTTTGTCTTTAACTGAGTGAATCTGTAGAAATAGAATAAGAAACATGCTCCCGTTTATGGTCGACTGAATTCACTGAATAAATGATGCACAAGTCAGTAAGAATCCTGTCATGCAGGTTAGTTTTCTAAAAAAAACAAACCAAAAAAAAGTCTTCTAAATGAGATACAGACTGACTTGTGAAGACGGGAACAGAAATACGGGATTTAACATAAACAAGGGGATACTCTGGAGAGGAAAACAATCACTAAGATGCAAAATCTAGCCAATAATTAAGCTTTACTGATGAGAATAAATCTCATATTACTCCGTGCTTTATAGTGCTCATGCACAACACGCACGCACGCACGCACGCACACACACACACACACACACACACACACACACACACACACACACACACACACACACACACACACACACACACATATAGTGTTCATGCCCCAAAAATATGTAACAGGGCAAGCTGGCAGCATTGTTGCCTTGCAGTGATTTGGTTGTATGTTCAAATTCTCACTGTGACCTTTTCCTCAGGTGTGAATTGTCACACCCTGTCCTGTCTCCCCGTTTTGGTTCAGCCTTGTGTCTCATTAATTGCTCCCACCTGCCTCTCGTTTCCCAATCACCTTAGCTCCCTGCCCTCGTGTATTTAAGCCCCTTCTATTCTGTGTCTTGTGTCGGTCCATTGTTTCAGTGTCCTGCGCGTTTTATATTAAAGTAATGTTGAAACATCCTACCTGTCTGCCTGTATTTCTCCCGCGTTTGGATCCTCGCCTCACCTCCGCTCACCTCTCCCAAACGCCGTGACAGAATGGACCGACCTGTCAAAGGATCCATCGGGGAGATTCTTCCGTGGGAGTACCTGCTCCGGTGGCTTACCCCGACCCACCAGCCGGCTTCTCCTTCTCCAGCCCCAGCTCCGCCTCGCTGCCGCCGACGTCCCCGACCGTCAGCCTCGGCGATCCTCGCCGCCCTTCTGGAACCGGATGGGAGTTTGGATCGGGAGACGCTCCTGGATCGCTCCGGCTACGAGGGCACAAGGCTGGCTGTCTGTTCCCCTGGAGTTGGTCCACGGTGTGGGGAAAAACGTTGGACTCCACCGCGATCCGTTGTCCCGGGACGGAGCTGTGAGCTCGCCGCTGCCCGGCCCAACAGGTTGGACACACCCCCGGCCAGACCAGCAGTCCCGTCTCCTGCCGAATCGGCGCCTCCGTCATCTACTGGGAGAGGAGCAGCACCTGCAACCCAGCGGATAGAGCTCCAGGTGGAGCTTGGCCGGATCCGCCAGCTCGTCAGCCTCCAGGAGTCTCACCTGGACGCTCTAACCTCTCCGAACCGCCAGGAGAAAGTCTCGGGCCAGCCTGCAGCTCCCTCATCTCAGAGCCAGAGGAGCAAGCCCGAGGTCCACCCAGCGGAGCTCGCCGGTCTCCGGGCTGAGCTGGCCCAGCTCCACCGGACGCTCAGCCTCAAA